ATCTACGAATTTCTGCAACATGTATACTTTTATTAAGAGGAATCTAATGGTATAATTATTATTAAAATCCAATTATTAGATACTGAGATATATTAATTTTTGTATTTTTTTTAAACAAAAATTTTCGTTTTTTTTTTAAAAATTATAAGGTGCTTATAATCAGGAAGTGCTTATAACTGGAAGAATACAATAAATATTTTTTCTTATATATAAACTTTAAAACTATTTCTAAATATCTAACAAAAAGAAAATTATTTAAAATAATATATTGAAAAAAAAATCAAACTATTTTTTTTTTCTGTAATCAAATAAGTATTTATTGTATTTATTTAATTATTGGAATTGAAAACATACAAGTATAAGACTTTTATATATAAACTAAGCTAATACTTAAATATCTATCCCTGATTATTAATCTCTAAATATAGTCTTAAAAATAAATAAAGTTGCTTATTTATTCTTTTTATTTCTAAAAGAATTTAAGTTTATTGCCTACAATTTATTACTATAGTTTATTTTAGTAAGATTTTGATTGCATTATATTTTTAACTATTTGATTTCTTTTTTTATTTTGTTTTATAAAATTTGTATAAATATTCTTGAAATTTTGATACCTTCAGTTGTTAAGTTTATATCTAACAATATTATTATTGTTTTCTTTTTTTTTTTGTAATCTGTATTTGTTCTTGAACTTGAAAACTTCTTTTTATATTTTTGAGTTAAACCCTATTTCTTTTTCTTTTTCTTTGTCACATGCTTTTTTGTGATTATGAATTTTTTTATATCTTATATTTTATATTTGTTGATAAAACTTTGTATTTCAGACCTGTAATATTTTGTTTAGAATCTTTTGGACTGCTACTTTATATGTATGACATATATGAATCTATTCTAAAGTTTCTTTTTTCATTTACAATCCTATATTAATATTAATTTTTCTTTTGCTAAAAACAATTTTTTAATTTTCCACTTCTTAATTATCCTATAAATTAATATTAGATTCCATTTGACTTTTTTCTTATCTTTATTTATTATTATTTTTTTTTTTTAAGTTGGCTAAGGGCATTAGATGCGAGACTTTATTTACTAATTGATAGTATTGTCATTACATCAAATATCTTTACAGATTAAACTATTGCTATTCTAGAATGTAAATTAATACTACCTAGTATTTACTATTTCCAGTAGTACTGGTTTCCCAAAGTCCAACCCAACTATCCTAGTTGACCAGCTTGCATCAAGTAGATGGGCTTGCGTCAGGTGGGACTTACACAGGATGGAAGAAGTCCTACCACTAGTTTAAACCTACCATCCTATTAGTCCAATCGTATTTTTCGGCTGCCCACCAGGAGAAGGTCATATGGAATATTATTATAGAGACTAACCCAATATTCCAGTCACTGTTATCACTGATCCTCAGAAGGTGCCACTAGCGTAGTATTGCACTATCATTTTCACCATCTGTGGAACTGGCGTCCTTGCTTGGATCCCGATTTAATCTTGTAGATCTTCACTAGACTCACTTGGCTTGATGATTTTTGTCTAGTCTTCTCACTACCTGTGGCTGATGCCTTGCCCTTCGGCCATATGATTAAGTTTTGTGGAACACCACCATTGGGATAGATCTATAAGCTCCAGATTGGGATAAATCAGCTTAGAATTAACCTCTTTATGTTGTGTGATGGAGTCTGCCGTCACCAGTTTTGGTTTGGAGTTTGTGGGCTTATTACCGGAATTAGACCAAAAACCTTTCCTCATGCAATCTTCCTTGCTTCGACCTGTTTTCAGCCCGCGATCATCAGGAAGACCAGAGGTTCCATCTTCATGCAGCCTAACTAAATTTGGAAGTGGATTGTTGGCTAATTGAGTACGACATGAATTGGAAGCTGGTCAATCAATCATGAAGGTGATAAATTTTTGTAACCAGGTGGGGTTGAACCCTAGACTTTCACCTGGTGACCTATGGAGCTTTACCACTGAGCTATAGACCTATAGGACAAAATTGTTAAAAAATTATTAAAAGAATAAAGCAAACAGATATTAAATTTTTTTTAACATAACTTTTTATATATTAATTAAAAAAAGCAAGTTTTTCATTTTAATTTCCTAGTTAATTCTATTTAAATAAAATTAAATAGCTATTTAATAATTTATATAAACTAAGTTATATCTAATTCAAATTTGATTTACTGGATTTAAAATTTAAAATTTAAATTAAATTGGTTTAAAAATTTAAAAATTTGATTTGATTCAATCCATATCTAATTTATAGATCATTTGAATTCAAATAAAAACTATGATTCCTATTTCTAAATGTAATTTTGGAGATAAAGAATGTTGTTTTTTTTATAATTTACCTGCTTATAGAGTTTAATTTTAAAGATTATTGCCTGCAGTTTATCATTATAGCTGTTAAATAAATAAATAAATATATTTTAATTAATTTTGCACTTTTATAGTATATTATTAAATAGTTGTTTCTAAATAATTAAAATATTATTTTATTATAAAAAAAATTTTTTTCTCAATTTGTATTAAAATATTTTTTTGTTTAAAATATATAAACTTGTTTATAAATAGTAGTAAATAAATATGTTTTCAAAAAATAAATTATTATTATTTTTTTTTTTATAGTGGAACGTGCGCACGGCATGTAATCTTTATTGATATGTTATATCTAGATAGACACCAAGTGTCTTCTACAAATTAACCGTAATGGTTTTTGAATAAAGTTGTGTTACAACCTTTAAAATAAATTATTTTTATCAAATGTTTTAAATAATTAAATATAATATTTTAATATTAATATTTAATAATTTAATTGTTAAAATTTTTATAAAAAGTCTTGAATTATAATTTTTTTTTTTTGAAACGGGTGGCTTACACCAGTCTTGAATTATAATATAAAATTAATTAAATTTTTTTAAATATATATAAAATATTTTTTTAAGATAATATTTATTTGATTTTCTTAAATTATTATTATTTTTTTTTTTAAGGTAAACAGTGCATGCAGCACATGATTTATTAATTGAGATGTTATATCCAATCTATATTAAGCTACAAAGATCCATTTAAGTTAACCCAGCGATACGATATGCACTCTTAAAGTGGATCATGTTTTTTGAGAGGAACCTATCTAGGGGGTGGAAATCCTACCACTAGTTTTAAACCACCTAACCAGATAGATGAATTATTAAAATTTTATAATTATAAAAAATAATAATAATAATAAAAATAAATATCTGGATTATCAAAAGTTTGAATTAAAGAAGGATGAATTAAAAAGAGTTGACTGTAGAATAAAAAAATATTTATATATTTACTATAATTATATAAATATTTGAAAATTTTTAAAAATAGTTTTATATATTATTAATTTGTTATTTTGCATATTATATAAGTATTTATAAATTTATTTTTATAATGGATTATATTATCAGATTCCAAAAGAAATAATAATATACAATATGTACAGTACAGTACTGGTGATAAAAAATGTCAAATTTTTTTTTTAAAAAATCTTGTTAATTGGTTGATTTTTTCTATTACATCTTCACCAAATTTGATATAAATCATTTCTATATGATACAAAAATAAAATGAATGGTGGCTTGGCTGTTACAAATATTACACATAACTATAATCGCAAAAAGACATCAGTTAGTTAAGATATTTTGGAAGAGCAGAATTAATAATGTCACAACTCTTCAAAAAGCTACCGGGTATTCATCAAAAATATTATACAAATAGGTCAAACAGCTTGAAAAAACTAATGATCCAAAGCAAAAATGTTGTTCTGATTGTTCAACTCTATTTACTCTTATATAGAAATGTTATTTTGATCAAATCACAAAATTAAATAAATATGCAACTAGCAGTGAATTAGTGGAAATTTTGAAAAAAACTTATCCCAATCTCAACATTGCATCCAAAATGTTGAGAAAAAATCTTCAAAAACTTGGATACAAAGTTTGTGTCTCCCATCCAATCTCCTTTCTTATTAAAATCCACAAGAAATGTTATATTGCCTAGACAAAAACTTACAAAAAAAAATATTGAAATAAAGTTGTTTTTTTTGATAAATCGACATTTCAACTGTTTCGAAATACAGTTAAGGTTTGTTATAAGGAGGGTGAGCCAAAACCAGAGCAGACATTCATGAAACATCTATTTAAAGTTTATGTTTGGGGACATTTTACACAAAAGAAATAATCGGCTTTCATATTTATAAAAAAAATATGACTGGAAAGCTTTATTGTAGCATTCTGACTAATAACTTGTTTGCACAAGCACAACAGATTCTTGGTAACACATGGGAATATCAACAAGATAATAATTTAAAGTATCAGACCAAGCTTATGATTATCCTTCTCAATGAACATTGCCCTCGTCTCCTTGATTGGCCATCTTACTCCTCCAACCTTAATCCAATCAAGAATATATAATCTTTAATAAAAAAAAAAGTGAAAAAAAGTGGTAATATTATGATAAGCAAGAAAAAAACAGTAACAAAAGATACTTTTATATCATTGATTGCATCAGAGTAGAAAAAAATTGATAGAAATTTATGCCTTAATTTAAGAGGTCAATGTCAAAGTGTGTAAAATTGGTATTATGGAAAAAGGATGAAACAATTAAATACTAACTCAATAATAAAGTTTTTAGTTTGTGTAATAAGCTATAATAAATATAAAAAAAAACAGTAAAAATTAATTGTCAGTTTTTATTGCCGGTACTGTATAATTAACTTTTATAAATTATTTTAAAGAAAAACTATAGCTATGTTTTATTAAAGATTGTATTTTTTTAACAAAAAAACAAAACTTAATACATATTTTTATAATTACAGTATTATTGTAATCTTGAAATATATATCGTTTATCATGATTTGAGTCTAAATACAGAGTTTTTTTCTCTGGTAAATTATGCATAGCGATGATCACGATTGTTTAAATTTTAAATAATTCCGAGTGACCAGTAAATGATTATCTTCTTAGCATGAAAGGTTTATTTGCAATTAACAAACCTCGTGGAAAAACATCCGCTGACCTTTTAAACACACTCAAAAAAGCCCTCGGTAAAAAACCTGGAGTTTCAAGGTCAAACATAAAATTAGGCCACGGTGGTACTTTAGATCCATTAGCAACTGGCGTACTAGTCGTCGGTGTTAATGGTGGCTGTAAGGAATTGTCGAAATATTTAAAATGCAATAAGGTACTCGAGTTTCTATGCTTAATGAATACTTTAAATATTGTTATTTGTTGTTGAGGAACTATTTTTCGTTCAGGTTTATTCTTCGGTTGGTTTACTTGGTTATTCGACAGACACTTATGATTCCGAAGGACAAGTAATTGGAACTGGACCTACTTCACATATTACTAAAGAAATGTTGGTAAAATTATTACCACAATTTACAGGAGAAATAATGCAAATTCCACCCTTGTAAGCTAAATATTGTGAGCTCTACCTTGTTCGGAATATCCGATACAATTATAGCGAATCAATTGTATTATCATTTTGACCTTAAAGGTATTCTGCACTGAAAATGAATGGTCAACGTCTTTGTGATTACGCTCGAAAGGGCATTGAACCGCCAAAAAAAATAGAAGCTCGGAAGGTCAAGATTCACTCATTGTCACTATTGAACTTCACCACTAAACACAATTATCGACCACCGGAGAGGGATTTTCATGAGACTGAACGAGAAGCTTCTTTGAACTTCCCAGTATTTAAAATACAAATTGAATGTGGAGGAGGAACTTATATTCGATCATTAGTTCACGACATTGGAAGAGGACTTAATAGTGAAGCACATGTTGTAGAATTAGAAAGGTTGCAACAAGGGGATTTTAAATTAGGAGTAAATACTATCGAATGGAATGATTGTTTAAATGTAGATAGTATCACTGAGGCTTTAGAAAAGTACAATCAGACGCTTTTTAATGAAAAGTCGTGAAATTATTTTCAACTAGATTATGTAACGATGATTTTCACACCTGAAATTTGGCTTCTCGCATTTGATCTGTGAAAACAATAAAAAAACCATTTATTCTTCTTCATCGCTTTCCCCCTCATCGGAACCATAATCAGCAAGTTCAATTAGCGCTTTGTTTTTATTGTCCTGAGCTATGTCCGTTTTCGTATTGGCCTTACCAATACTTTGTGAAATTGATTTTATATTTTCCAATGTTTCTGCAGAGATAATAGTTTTTTTATGATCGGCAGATACACTTCCCATGTCTTTTGTCAAAGTTGAAATATCTGCATTTTGACCTTTATGTTTGTCGTTATGGGCGGATGATTCCAGATACCATGGAGTTTGATATCCCTCAAGACCATATTGATCCTGAGCGAAATTATCATCTACTCTAGGCCTTTTATTGATCAAATAATCATCATTTACCAATGTAAACTCTGCGGGAAGACTTTTCTGTATTGCCTGGGCGGCTATTGCTTCGGCCTTTCGTTTGTACTCTGCCTTAGCACGTGGATTGGGATCATCAGTGGCCCATCTGAGTGGAATGGGAAACCGTTCAGTTAGTCGTAATTTAAACCTTTTGACCCAAAGAGATGACAGAAATCCAATAAAATAACATACCGTACATTCAGAACCTTCAAAGAAATAATAAATGAAGATTTAGATTTCATTAATTCATTTCACCCCGAAATTATATTATGTACAGTAAGTCATCAGACTTTTAATGTGTACCTCATTGTGATCTAAACTCTGATTGCTCATCGCCTCTTTTGCAAATTCTGCATTAAGTATACACTGGTATGTTACAAACGCCACCCCCTTTTCTTTTAGAATCTTAACTGATAACAGGTTAAGCATTTATCATCAGTTTCTGTGAAATTAAGAGGAAGAAATATTAAATGATTACTTTTTTCAATTTCACCCCATTCGCTAAAGTGTCTTCGAACGATTTCCTGAAATCCAAAATTCACCTTAGAAAAAGTCAAAACTCTATAAAAACATAGATAAACCCTTACCTCCATGTTAGGACCAATGCGAATATATCCAACGTAAAGCGTTCGATTCTCCCTGTTAAATGATCCAACCCCACCCATATCTTCACGATATTCATCGAATTTATCGCGCCCAAACACATCAATCGTTGTATCCACGGGGTCAGACTCCGTTGGTATTCTATGCCAATAATTACATTCGTGACTTAAAATGAAAGAACCAGGCAATAAATAATTTGATCTAATTAAATAAACCATTCTTAATGTTTATCTAAAAAGCCGTTTACCCGAAAGGACAACAACCACGAGCAAAATATAAGCAAAAATATGCATTAGGCATCTTGTCACCTTTTGTTTCGCCAGCGTCAAGCTCCACTTTGCACCGAGTCTTTGCTTTTTCTCTAAAACACACGCATAAAATTAGGCTTTGTCAAAAATTGCTATCTTTCCTTTTCTTCTTAGATTACCGTGAATACTTTGATGTCCTTTCTCCGCCGGACCATTTGTTGTACCATATATTATAGAATGCATCGGGACGATCGACTGACGCGATTCTTGACGGGCCTACCTTAAATATGGAATCGTCTACCTGCAAACGAAAATGAAAATTATTATGAATCCTTTAGAAAAGCAAGATCACGTCAATTACCTGTTTTCTGGCGGGCTTCATTGTGATAATTTATAAATTTGAGAAATTCTGAATGTCGAAAGGTTTTACCGACGTCGATCGATTTCATAAATTTATTTATCTAAATTACTACTTACTAAATATATTTGTTTTTTTAATTAATTTAAATTAAAAAATAACAAATTTTTAAAATTTAATTGATAAATATATAAAATTCAAAAAATTTATAATAAAATAAAAATTACTGATTTATTTTTATTTATATTATGTTACAATAGAAAAAATTGGTTTTAATCATATTTCTTAGGCTATTTATAAAATATTTAATAATTTTTTTTGGTAATTACTTTTTAATGACAACTGACAACTTGTTCTTTTCACATGATTTCAAAGTTCTAAACCTTATCAGGAATATTGTTTTTACTGATTTAATTTGGAGAGCATCTGTAATTGTAAAACTCCTTCACATAGCTAAATATTTCATCTGGTTATGATCATTGATATCAATCTTCAATCCGAATTTGGATTTAAATACAATTTGTATAACAATTTCTTACCCTAAGATCCCAGGAAAAAATGGCCGCCGAAGATAAAAAAGTTACTGTTGATGAATTAGACGAGTCAGACGATATTTTTGATGGTTAGCCTTGGCCTTTATTTCAATTCCCTTTTCTCGATTCTGTATCAAGTTAACGCAAATAACTTCTCGAAAAAAAACACGCCTCAGAGGTTTTGGACGCCTTTTCTTCTTCGCAGTCATCCAAACTACCACCCTTGAGCGATCCTTCTGCTTCCTCTAGTTCCAATTCTTCCTCAACAAATAATCCGCTATCGTTTCAAAACACTGGTGCTGAAGTAGATCCAAGTTCAGAAATTGACGATGAATATGCGGCACAATTGGCTTCTGACATGGAAGAATTTGTATCGCGACTAGAAGGACTATGGAGTTCTGTTGATGAAGAAAGCTGTAATGGTGCAGAAGGTGTTGATAGTAGTAGTAGTAATACTGGAAATAATGGAAGATCTAGTGATCCTAAGGCGAATTCATTTCAAGATAAAATTAACCAAACATTGAATAACCTACAGAATAGCTCTGATCGGGTTGATGTATGCATTTTAACAATAAGATGTTAGTTGTATCGACTTTCACATGCTGAGATGTAAATGAAAATTTATATTTATTTCAGGCCGAGATAACAGAGAAATCAGCTGATGAAATAATGGACAGAGTAATAAAGCAACTAGAGGGACTTGGAGAAAATGGGAACATGGAAGAGATGTTGGGTAGCGGGATGGATAATATGTTAGAATTTTTGATGGAAACATTGGCAACAAAAGATTACTTATATGAGCCAATGAAAGAATTTGCTCAAAAGGTAGATTCCTGATATATTGGATTCTTTTAATTAACATTTCTGCTACAATTAACAACCAAAGGTTTCTTCGATACGTTTCCATACAATCATTATACTTGCACTATTTATTTTAAGTACCCGAAATGGCTCGAAGAGAACAAAGGTCTCGTCTCAGAAGAAGACTATCAACGTTATGAGAAACAATCGGAATATATCAAGAAAATCATTGCGAAATATGAGGCGCCTGACTTTGATGAAAACAATGAAAAACAGAATAAGGAAATCGTGAGTTTAATGCAGGAGGTGAGTACCACATGGATATAGCATCTTTTTTTAAGTACATTTCTAATTAGTCCCGTGTATCACAGTTACAAGACTTCGGACAACCACCAACAGAAATCCTCAATGAGCTAGCTCCGGGGATTGAACTTGACGAGCAAGGAATGCCAAACTTATCCATAGATTCGTGTAAACAAATGTAGTATATAAATTATTTAGTCAACTATTCAAATAATGAATAATGTGACACCTTAATTATATCATTTTTATTATCAACTTTTTTCAGAAAAAAAAAGAAATCTTTTTCTTATTTTGCATTAATTTACTTTTAAAATTCTTTGCGATCCCCAACATTATTTATGCCTAAAAAAATATTGTTTTGCAAGAGTCCATGTTCCTGCGGTGGCTGCACATATTGCCGATGCAGTAGTCGCTGCTCTTATACCAGCTAAATGTGCGTTGAAAATAGTAAATAATAATGTTTTTTCCGAATCAATAGATCAAACCAAATTTTTACCTGTAGATTTAAAGATCGCGCCTATCAATGCACCTGACATAACATTATTTATTGAGTCATGTTTCCCTCTCATACTTCCGATTATGCCGTTAATTCCATTGTAACCCATAGCTAAAGAATTAAATCGAAACTTAGTCATGGCATCAAACTTTGTCAAGGAGTGTGATCGGTAAAATTACCCAAGATTCCACACGAATTTCCAATAAATGGACCACGCCTAGTCACCGAGTTAAGTATCGTATTCAATCTTAGTTTGAAATTGGGAGTTTGTCCACGTAGACCTTCCGTTAAACCCCAAATACCGCCAAAAGTCAAGCCTAAATAATAGATCACCCGAAATTTCCAAATAATTAGAATATGCGGGAAATAAATTTCTTTTTAAATTATAAGAAAAATATACCAGCAAGATAAGTCGTCCCAGTGCCATAACATAAGTCATCCATTACTCCCCGACTCGGCAGTGCCCCTGGCGTTATTCCCTGCTCGTCCAATTTTATATAATCAACGGCACCAAGACCAGCGATCTCCCTTATTTGCGCCGAGTTTAGGTTCACCCTACCTAAAAAATCAGTCACGTCCATTCGATCGTGTCCATATTGATCTGTTGTTGTTGATTGTTCGTTGTAATTATTTGTAACAGACATCTTTTTTTATAAATTAGCCAATGACTACCGTTTGATTATCAATTTTATTTTTTGCAGGACAAAATGTCGGGCCCTATTCTATTTATACGCTACTGAACGCGTATAATTATAAATTAAAAATTTCTAGTGCTTATATAAACATTTAACAACTTACTAATGCTATTTTAATCTTTAAGATAAAAAAAAATTATAATAATATAATATTCACCCAAGTCAACAAACTTTTTTTATTAATTCTTTGATTATCACTTCAAAGCAACATTCAACAGTTACTTTTTTAATATAAATTATTTATTTTTCTTAATATATCATGCTAAATAAAGTCGAAATTTTTTTTTTAATATTTTCTAGTTAATTAATTTCTTCTTATCTTTTGATTAAAGTATTATTTTATTTTAAAAGTTTAAAGATATTTGAAATCTCTATAGTAAGAAAAATAATATTTTTTATTTTTTTTGAAGCAAATGGCTATTATGCTTTATTATATTTATTATATTTTCACTTGCAAAACAAGATCCAATATTTTTAGCATGACATATTTCTTTACTAAAAAGAATTTAATGCAAGACTTTTATAAAAAGATTATAACACTCTTGTGCTTTTTGATATTATTCAAGAAATATAAAAAAATAGAAATTTCAAAATCTATATTATTGCTTTAAATGATATCTTAACTATTTAAAAAAAATTAAATATCTAATCATATGAAAATGCTGCAATTAATCTATACAGATTAGTTTTAAGTTATAATTAAAATTAATACATTTACTTTTCAAATATAACTTGATATATGGCAAGCAAAGTAGTATTAAAGTTAATAAATAATAGATATCTTTTTGTATAAAGATGCTATAGTCTTTTTATAAAGGTTTGTCTTTAATTTTAAAAAAAATTTGATATATTCATACTTCAAATGTAATAAAAGTATCTTATAAGTAGAATTCATTTTGGTTTTTTTAATGATATTGAAACTTAACTTTATACAATAGATCTATATTGTTCAAAATATAAGTAAAAACTTTTTGTTATTTTTATTAACTTATTTGTGAAGATAATCAAAATTCATAATTGTCATATATTACTTTACTAAATTTTCCAATCACTAATATAACACCTGTAATTAATTTAGTATATTATTAATTGTATTGACATTGACCATTATTTTATTTTGAATATTGTGAAATATAACTCCTTAGATACTTTCAAATAATAATAGTTATATAGAGATTTTTCAGATATATCTAATCTAATTATTAATTAGTAAATAATATTAAGTTTATTAATTAGTAAATAATATTAAGTTTATTAATAATATTATTATTAATCTTTTAAAAAAGGTAAATCATCTGTTTTTTTTTTAAAAAAACCATAAAAAAGGAAAATTTTCTAAAACTTATATCTTAAAAGAAATTACTGCTTTTTAATATAGTTCTTGAAAAAAGAAAATCAACTGGTTAGAAAAGTAATATTATAGAGGCAAAGTTTTCAAAAAAAAAAGAAAAACCTAGAGAAGAAATCTTTAAGAAAAAAAATACACTAATTTTGATAGAAAAAAAGAAGAGTATAAAGTATAAAAAAATATATATAGAAAAGAGTAAAAAAGATAAAAAAGATAATATAAAAGAATATAAAAAAGAGAAAATAAAAAAAATAAAAAAGAGAAAACAAAAAAAAGTAAATAATTTAAAAATTTTCAAGTATAGAAAGGAAAATATCTATTTTTTTAAAAAAACAAATTTAAAAATTATAATAAACTTTTATTTTCAAGTTAAATTTCAATAAATCTTATTAAAAATTTTATTTATTTAAATTTAATTTTGAAAAATTTAGTTATATTGAATTTGTTAAAAATCAATTAATTTTTTTTTCCATAATTAAATAAATATTTATGGAGTTTATTTAATATTAATATAAAATACATATTTGTTTAAAAACTTTTATATACAAACTTTTAAATATAATACTTGAATATTTATTTTATATAAAACTATCTCTAAATATGATCTTGGTAATAAAAAAAATTACTTGTTCTTATATACTTGTCATGAAATATATTTTGAAGTCATAACTTATAGTTTATTATTACAATTTGTCTTTTTAAAATTTTGATTATGTTTTATATTTGACCTGTGGATCTGTAGTATAATGGTTAACACTCCACAAGTCAAATCACAAGATACCAGTTCAATCCATGTGAGAGTGGTTAAATAGAATTAATATGGTATTTGGTGTCATAACCTGTTAAGCATTGTTTCTCATAAAAAGCTGTTTCACACGCTGATCCAGCAGACATTGAGATTGTGATTTCCAGAAAAGATATTATGGTGCAATGATCATCCAGTTGGTGTTATGATAATTATAGTCAAGTTTGATGCAATCCCCAGTTCCACAGCAGGCCGTTTCCCTTTTCTATAGTCCACGAGACTATAAAAAAAATATAATATGGAGGGCCACAAACTGTAAACTATTCAGCAAGACATTTAACATGATCCCCCTTACGCATGAGTCACGACTCGCCAGCAATACCCACTATTCTTATCTGTAGTGAAGATATCCAGTTGGTAACGTTTGCCAGAATGGAAGATCTTTCTTAAGACTTAACCTGACTTTGGAGACGTTACGCCCTCTTAAATAAGCAGCTTATGCTTGAAGCCCAGCATTATTTAAAGAATTGAATCGTCAACTATAGTTTAAAGATATTAAAAAAACAACTCTGGCCATAGGTCCCAACTGCTTTCCAGTAATTCTCCAGAGTAATGCCTCAAGAAGAAAACCAGAAAAGACAGAGACACAGTACTTTGATAAATAATTTGTTTAGTGTTTAAAGACTTTGCTGGAAAAAAAGTGTTACAAATTTAAGGCTAAAAGATATAAGAAAAAGTTTAGGTAGCAGACTATACCCAGACGGCTTATACCCATAAATAGATTCTAGTTTATACAGAGTATTTAGTATAGATTAACGTTGTATATACCTTGTATGTAATGATCTATTTACAAATAAATATGGACTAGAGTGTTGTCTCACTTTAGCAGTTTAAAAAAAAAAAGATTATATTTTATATTTCTAATTATTATTTTTTTTCTTGAATCTTATTTTACAGAATTTTTTTGAGTTTCTCTATAAGTTTTTTTTTTTTTTGTTATCTGATAAATTTGTTTGATTAATTTTTTTATTACTGAAACTTAAGAACAGTAGAAAGTGATTTTTGAATAGTTTTTTTCTTTTTTCCTATGTTTTGCCAGTTTCTTTGTCCTTAAACAAATCTTGTAATTTTGATGGTTTTAGTAATATTGGTACCTTTATTTCTTTTTTTTTTTTTTTTTTGAATCTGTATTTTGAAAATTGTTTTTGTTTTTGTATTTTTTCTTATTTAAAATTCTATATACAATATATTGTCTAAGGATCTTGTACTATGTCTTGGATATTTTAATTAATAATTTATATATCTGAATACAAAAGATCTTTATGATTTGAAGACTTGTTTTCCAGTTCAAGATATTTTTCTTTTTCCATAAACTAATACTTAGATTAATTGTTTGTTTTTTTGAATTTTGTATAAAGGAGAATTATAAAAAACTTTTCAAAGTAGGGAAAAGATTTTTTCTTCTTGGTTAATACTATCTTTTACTATTACTTCTTTAATAAAACCTATATTTGTAATTACTTTAATTGTTTTATTAATTAATAGCTCCAATATTAATCTGATAATTTTAAATAAAATCTTTATTCTTTGCAATACTTTTTCAAGTATTGTTAGACTTTTGCTATGTCTTGAAATAAGATTTAAAGCTTTTTTTTTTTTTTCTTGCATCTTCACAGATATTTTTTAAAAGCTAAATTGGTTCTAGTGTATTTTTTTTTGATAATCCAGCAAAACTTGATTCTTTTAAGATATTCTTAATCTCACAAGTTGTTGCCAATCAATTGTTGATAATTTTTGTAAAATATTTTTTTGTCACTTTGAAAAGTATAATGGATCTGATATTGTTTAAATTCTTTTGCTATTTTCTTTCTTTAAATATTGTATATAAGAAACTATTTTTCAAAGTAAATAGTATAATGTTATTTTTCAAAAATAAATTTAAAAAGTTATGGAGTGTTTTTGTTGCTTTTGGATCTAAGTTTCTAAGTATTTTGTATTTGATTTTGGTTAAATCTGTTGCTTTGTTATTGGAAAGTTTATGCAGAATTTCTTTAAGTTAATTTAAGTTTATTTTTTCTTCTATCTTGTTGTACCATTCTTCTTGAATTTCAGTTTTGAATTTATATTGCTTTTTCTATTGTATATTAAGAAAGTCAAAGTTGATCTTTTATTTTCTGAAGGCTTTTTAATAATAAAGTTTGGTTTGATGGAGAATTTCTTTTTTTTCAGTGATTAGATATTCTTTTTCTAATTTATAGATCATCTTAATTCTGTCAATTGTTATTTTGTCTTTGAAATTGTTTATTAATACTTAAATATTAGTTCTCAAATATGTTTTTGATTTGATCTATATAGATAAAACTTGTTTCAAGATTTTGTTAAAGAGATATTAATAACAGTTGTAATTTTGATACTGTTAGGGTATTGACTTAACTTGTTATGTTTTCAATGTAATATAGGATTTCTGTTAATATAGAAATCTAAATCAAGTATTTTTGTTATTAATATATATTATATAATTGTTTATAAATTTTAAACAAAAACTTCTTTTTGCTATTTATAAGTTTTATTGTATATCTTTAAATATCTTTTGAAGTTTTGTAGATTGTATAAAGCTTATTAAAGGCTATAGGGATAATGATTTTATTAAATAGATTTTCACAAGTTTTAAATTTAATCAAGTTGGGAGATATTTATAAATTCTAGTTTATTAAGTTCTTCTATGATTTCCTATAGCTTAAAGTTAAGAATTTTTTTCTTTACTTTGTTTTTGAACTTTTTTTATTGCTGCTTAATTATATTATCAAGCTTAATTATTTTTTTGTATTGAAGTTTTGTATTGTAGATTTGCAAATT